CGAGCAGTTCTGGCCGGCTCATGGTGCTGGCGGGATGGAGGCAGGGAGAAAGGGGTAGAGGACGAGACTGCCGTGGCGTGGGGGCTCCAGGCGAGGTGCCGGGGGGAGAGCAGCACGGAGCGTGCGTATCTACGCCAGTGCCCTGGCTGAAGATCCCAGATGGGGCACTGCAGCAAGCGGCTCATTTATATATCTCAGCCCTCGGAAATGGCGTCAGGAGGAAGCCACCTCCTCCTCTACCCCCTCCCCTCGCACACAGGCTTCCCATCAGCCTCCATCGCTCGCCGGGTGTCGGAGGAGCCCCGACCTCCCGGGCTGCCCGTGCAAGGGTGTCCGGCTCTGGTTGCTCCATCTGCTCCCATTGCAGGCGCAGGAAGGCTGGCAGGTGTTTCCAGGACACTGCTTTTCCAGCATCTCACCCGACACTGGCAATCTGCAGCACCTCTGCACATGTGCCCTCTCTCTGTGTACCTGGAGCCAAACGTGAGGCACCTCATGTGTCCCGGCCAGCACTGCAATCTGTAGATGGTTTTGCCCTCTCAGGACCTCCTTGTCTTTCACTGATCATGGAAGTTTAGAACAGGTGCTGAAATTTTTAGATGTCTTTTAAAGACCACCACTCCAGCGAACCATGAAAAGGGCTTGCTAATGGACATGGTAAGTCCCAGCAGTTCTATGAAAAGTTTGTTAGTAGGATATTATCTGGGGTAAGATCAAAGGCCAGTGCTTCTGCTGTCCACCAATGAGTCTCCATGCAAAATTCTAATAGGTTGCTACCCGTTGTTCAAAGCTGTATAACACTCTTTAGTTATACCCTGCACTCTAAAGTTGAAGTAACCAAGATTACCCTGGCTGCCAGTTTGCATTGTCAAGAGAAGAAAGGAAACAACAAATTGTGTAATTTTCTTACTCACAAGGGTTTCCATGCTTTTGAAAAAAAATGGCTGTCTATTTTTTGGGTGGAGCATCTGTCAGGTCAGCCAGCTGGATTCTTTGTTTAAAGTGACTCCAATGCTTCTTTTGGACAATGCTTCTTCAGGAATAGCAGCTCTGCTACTCCATTCGATCCCTCAAGCAATTTCAGAGGTCACAAAATGCAGGGACTTAGACCAGACAACAAAATTCAGAAAAATGCACCATCTTTCTTCCCCACTCTGCCTCACTCTGCTCACTGGGGAGTCCTGCTCAAGGAATTAGGGAGAATCTAAGAGGTCATCACTTGTCATCTGGTCTAAGATGACAACAACTTTTCTATGAGATTAGGCAGTACAGACTGCACCATTGTTTTCCCTTTCTCTTTCCAGGTGCACATGGAAATGTATTCCCAAATGTCCTCTTCTATCTATCTGATCTAAATGCACACTTCAAAAGACACATTTAGATTGTAAAAGGCCATTCATACAAAATCAGAGCTCCTCTTGTCTGTTGCACTTTCTAGTTAAATGCAGAGAAAATATGGAAATAAATTGATCTTCTGAATAGTGCTTTGGGGATGGCAGTGATGGATGGTTAAATGTTCATAAGTCTATGAAATGAACACCCATGACAGTACTTGTTCCATGGGGAACCTCCAGGAATAAGAGATATCCTTTCTTTTTTGTTGTTGTGTTGTTTAGTTTTGGGGTTTCTTTTTTCATTTTTTCATTTTTGTTTCAGGATGTGTGTGTATTTACTGGGGAAGAGGGATAGGGACCTTTTCCTCATTCAGGATACCCCAGAGCACAGAAGCCTCTGAGTCTGAAAAACTGAGCATTATTAAGCTTGTAAATTCCTATATATTCTTAAGTGAGATTGATTTGCTTATCAGGCTCTGTTTTCCTAGTCGATATTTACTTGTCCTTACGTATAAATGCTGATCTTATTGGGGCAATAAATATCTCAGTTCTAATCCAATTTCTTACATGAAGTCATTTTCTTCTCTGGGGCCTCTTTTTGAGACATTTAATAAGGTATGTAGTGCCCATAACCAATTTTTTTTCTTCTCTTTCTCAAGGTGAGGTCTTGCATCCATTAAATTCATTGCAAAGGAGAAGCTAAGTGCTTTCCAGGTATGGCATGCATACTTCCACTGTAATAGAACATGATGGATGATTAATTTTTCCATTTCTTGCCCCAAGAAAAATGGATATGAAACTGTTAATCTAGCAATCAGTACCTCTGCTCTTGGAATTTGTCTCATTAGGCACAGCTATATTAGGAACTGTCACAGTAAAGCATGCCAGGGAAAGATTTATGTCAAAAGAGCAAACGTGATCAAATAAAAAAGTGAAAGGTATTTTGCCACTCAGAGAAAGGCAATGCCTGGAGCAGACTAGAAGGAAAGAGCAGGTTTGTGAGTCTCTACAGTAGTTTGTGTTTTAGTATATAGAAAAGAGGAGTAGATCTTCAATGAGTGGCAAAGAAGTGAAGATGGACATTTGTGACTACTTCCAGCCTTATAAAAAAAGCTGTTGATGTCTATAGAGAACAATTCCATTTTTCCTTATAGCTGCACAATTTCTGGTGCATGAAGTGCTGTTGGGACTGTGGAGAGCCATAGACCATGACCTGTCTGCAGTTACCAACACAACATGTGTAGATGGACAAAGAGATATTTGCCTTCCCAGCCTGAAAGTGATTTGAGAAGATGGCAGTGTCCTGATGGACGGAGGCAGCCACCCTGGACTGTTGCATTATCCATGCTCTGAGCTGAGGGAACAGGAGGGTCAGCTTAAAAGCCATATTGATATATGATCTTTCTATGCATAAGGTCATTTGATTGAGAGATTATGTGGCTTAAGTGCAATTCTCAAGAATAAAATATTTTTTACTTTATTTCAGAATTCAGGAAATTAATCCAAAGGATCTTGTATTTGTGAGTTACTCTAAAAGCTTTGTTGTCTAATTTGTTGGCTGAAACTGGGTTAAGAATTCGCTCCTCTTCTGTGCTTGGAAACACTGACACTGCATTTCAAACAGCTGTGATTTTACAGATCCAGATACTGAGGCCCATAAAGAGGGAAAGTGTCATTTTCATGAAGATATCAAAAAGATTTGAAGCCAAGGCACAGCTAATACCACATCCTAACCAAAAGGACACAAAGCAAAAAATAGGCAACAATTACCTTCTTGTATATAAAATCAATTGATAACTGTTTGACTGAAAAACTTGAATGTAAGCTCATTGCAAAATTACTAACAAAGTCTATTAAAAGCTCCACATCACATCTTTTCTTCATTCCCACCGTAGTCAGTCACACTCAGCTCTCAGTTCCCTCATACAAGCCTTGCTTGTCTGCCTGTAAATAGAAGTAAGCTTCAAAGCTCAGATTGCTGCTGTGAATACTCATCTGGCTGCTCAAAGGCAGTCCTCTCTTCTTTTTCAGGTCAGAGGCAAAATGATGTTGACTTGCTTTGATTTTCTTAGTCTAGACTATCCTTGCACCAACCTGAAATGAATTTATTTTCCTGTTGAAAGGTTTACTTACACCCCATAAAAAAAGCCCATCATTGTGCCAAACCTGACAGTAGCTAGCTCTGCCTATCCATTTTTATCCTTGCCTGGCATGCACAGCTCTCACAGCAAATGGAATATATTCCCTGCTGGAAGAAGAGACTTCTCTGTAGTGATCACAGAATACCATCTGGACACCCTTACAAATAGCTTGGATCTCAACATAATTGTTCTAAATGTTATTCAAACATCAACCTGGAAAATGTCATATCCTTCCAATACTATGGTCAGTTTACCTGGCAGTTCCAGAAAACCTGCATTGATTCCTGTGAGCCCTACTGAATCTGCAAAAAGATGTGGAGACAGAGGTTCTTCCTGAACAGGGATCTCAAACAGCCTGCTCTGGAAATCACTGATTGTTCCTTTGGCTGTGGTTCTATTTGACTTGTGACAGCAAAGTTTGTCTGATGCTGATATACATATTCAGTAAGATAAAACAATTCTGTAAGTTCTAGACTGGCCTTAAACAAGATCATGGGAACATAATTGATATTGTTTACTTAGCTCTGAAGCTGGAGACAGGCAGTGCTGTTTACTGACCTGCAGACACTAATAGGGTTCATGAGTTAAGGGGCAAAAACAGTGACAGGAGTGACTGAGGTGTGTGGAGCAGCACTCCTGTTCTGGGGGTCCATAAGCCCATCAGAGAGCCTCTGCTCTGCCAGCAGCTCACAGCCAACAGATGGATCCCCAGCCAGCATCATCAGCCCAGATTCTGAACATTGACTGACTTCCTGGTATATTTTGTAGAGATCACTTTTATTCCTCTTTCTTTCTGTACCCAATCTGTCTGTCCATTCCAGGCCAGTTGCTCAGTGAAAACCAAGTGAGCCACAGGGGTATGTGGGTCTCCTGGGCTGGGGTGCCCACAAGGCCAGAGCCCAAATGCTCTGAGCATGAGCATGGTAAGGGGCTTTTTTGAGATATAAGTTAGGTGCACTTGTGCTAACTTTTCCAGTTAATGGAGATGAAATGGTAATCCCTAATTAAAAAGCAATTGTAATTAGAACCTTCCCACCACCCCCCCCTTCCCCTCCCACAATGGCAAGGTTTAGAATCATGAAACACATCAACAACTTCCATTCTGGATGCTTTCTTTGATCTCCCTTTGCTCACATGGGAAGCAATGCACTTAAAGAGATGAAAAGACAACTGAGCACAGAGCCTGCTCCCCTGCCACTCTTGCAGAAGGATGAAGGAAAGGTGTGAGGGTTCATGCATGTACTGCTGACATATCTCTGTCCCAAAAGCCAGACCTAAGGACTTTCGGGGCACTACTGTCCCCACAAGATTATTATTCTTCAAACAGTGACAACAGCACATCCCTGGAGCCGCCTACCTGGAGATATGGAGCACAGGGACACAACACTTGCTATTTTGGGTTGGAGTAGGCACCTGGAGACCCAGAGGCAGAGACAAGGGCTGGGGTGGGACTAGCTCCTCTTCCTGCCTGTGTGCCAGGCTGAATCCCAGCTTCCAAGCCTCCCAAAAATGGGGCACTGGCCCTGATATTTATTTTCCAGTGCTACACAGTGTTCTAGTGTTAATTAAAAGTAGCTAGTTTGATTGTCCTCTGAGAGTCTCTTCTCAGATTTGGTACCTCCCTCAGCTTTATGGCATTAAATGCCACAGCTTGCTTAAACGCAGCAAAAAATATCTCATCTGTTATTTTTAAATTACTTCTGTTCTAAACCTGGGAAAGACAAAACCTCTTTTTCTTCCCTAATTCAGTGAGGCTTTCATGATATTTACATTTCTCTCTTACTCATGTCCTTTCCAGGAGAAACAATGTCAGTCGTCTGGTTCTCATGAGGCTCCTTTAGGCCTGGCTACTAGCCAGTGAGTCCCATAGGTTAATTACCTACAGCATATAATTACCTATAACATAATGCAGAGAGATCCTGGGTTATCCTGCTCTCACTAGAGCACTGTCAGTAGGATATTTTTAGTCTTCACTCAGTGACCCAGAAACTTTCTGGGGATACCTGAAAAAGCTTGGTTTTCACTTTGAGAATGGCCATACACAGATGTTTCAGGAATCAGTATCCTTTGAGATCTGTTATTCCCTCACATAAAAGACATTATGGAGAGGACAGGGAGGATTTCTGGAGGGTTTAAACATGCTCCAGCAGCAAGTCAGTAGTGAAGAGTTGCTCTAGACTGCATCAGGGAAACGACTCAGTCTAGATAAGGCAAAGAAAAGAATTCCCACCCTGTTGGTCTCAGCTGGCACCTCGGTCCCTTCCCTCCATCCACTCAGCCTGGTTTGGGTCAGGCCATTCTCTGCACAGCCTGAGCAGAGCTTTGGGTAGCCTGTGCAGTGCAGATGGCTCCTGCTTCAGATGTTCTGTTGGTAAGGCAGTTTTTGAACATCAAATTGCATGTTAATGCTAGTTAATGAATGTTCTCTTTACAGGCACAGCAAGCCTTTTTCTTCTATACTAAGCAAGGAACAGGAGGAGGTAGCCTTTCAGGTATTAAATTGCTTGAGAGCATCAGCACAGAGCAGCTTGAGGAACAGCCACAGAATCTTAAATTACTATTACTGGGCTTTTTTCAGCCTCCAGGAGCTCAGGTTTCTTACCTGACCAATGCTTTTTCTTCACAGGAGAGTAGGGTTTGCTGTGCCTGTCCTTGGGGAGCAGCCCAATTACTTTCTGTAGGGCAAGAGAACAGCAGCATGAGGCACCTTCAAATGCATCAAAGTCTCTGCTAAACCCACCTCATTCATATGCTCTGCAGACAAAATAGTCCAGACAGATTTCTCCACATTGCAGGATGAGCCCAAAGAAAATCTGGGAGATCCCAAAGAAGTTCTGCAGCTCCCAGTTTGCTCTATTTGGAGGAAAGGCTTTGGACCACTGACCACCCCTGACCTTGCAGAGATCTCCTCTGTTTGTACTCAGCTGATCTCAGACTCAGTCTCTGTTACTAAGTGCTTGGGAGAATGTGTCAGGACAAACCACACTTTCTACTTTTTTGGGGATTAAAAAAACCCAAACCAACAGGGAAAATATCCAGACCATGCTTCTCTTTCAGTTTTTTTTTTATTCCAGAGTTTTACTAAAACATGTTCTGCTGGCTCTCAACAGCTTTTTGTTTGATGGAGGCAGCTAGATAACCAAAAACATGGTGAAATCCCTGTGAAATCCATGTCTTCCATGCCATGTAGGAGGCAACTGTTGTCATGTGTAATCCCAAAAGAGCAGAAAAAGGAAGGTTTCCCCCAGGCAGAGAAAATAAATGGCTACTATGCTCACTTTGTGTTTAAAACTGCATTGAGTACATGCCTTTCTGTACTGAGGGGAACGTTGCAGCTGCTTGGCAGATTCACACAGTGAGAAACTGGAAATGTAAGGAGAAAATGTGCTATTTGCATTTCTAACTAAATTGCTCATTAAGAGCCTGAACCCAAACATAGATCAATAGAAAGACTTTTATCCTTTCCAGTGGGTTTTGGGTTCAAGTCTAGACCTAGCTTCCTTCCCTGAGGTTGGGATGCATTCCCCAGAGGCAAGGATATCATTTAAGTGTATTTAGGCAAGGAGTAAAGGTAATAGTGAGGATAACACCTGTAAGAAGGAGGAACACCTGCTCAGAGAATGCTTTAAAGAAAAAAAAAAGGAAAAAGACATCAGTCAATGTTGTTCATCAGCAAAAGTAAAGACAGGAAGTAAATTTGAATTCTGTATCTTCAGGGGGACAATCTGTGCCCTGGTCCTGCTGCCCACACCATTGCTGGCACAGGCCAGGATGGCATTGGCCTTCTTGGACGCCAGGGCACAGCTGGCTCATGTTCAGGGAGATGCCAAAGGGCACCCCCAGGTCCTTTTCCACCAGGCAGCTTTGCAGCCACTCTGTCCCAGCCTGGGGCACTGTGGGGTTGTTGTGACCCCAGTCAGAACAGGAGTGACTCTCCTGTTTCCTGTACTGGCTCTGCATCACCTCTGTCCTTAGCAGCTTAAGTGCAGCCTTAAAGTGACTTGTCCAGGGACAGGGGGAGCAGCGCTCTTGGTGCTCTTCTCAGCTCCTACCAGAGGTGACCTCTTAAGGCAAGTACTTGTGGCCCTCCCTGCAAGGATGTGTGATTTCCTTGGCTTCCAGACACCACCTGCTCATTTTTAACTTCATTTACTTGGTGCCAAGCCATGCAGGTGTTCCCCATTATTTTAGGGGTTCATTAGTGTGGTTCTCACTTGCTTTGAATTTGTTGTAAAATGTGGAGAAACAGCTGCGAGCCTATCAATGAAATAAGTGCCCTAAATAATTTCTGTTTAAACTCTGCAGGATCAGTGCAGACAGCAATGCAGCTCCCTCCTTGGAAGTTGAGTAGCAGGATATTTTTCATGGGTTTTGATGATTATACAAATTGTTAGCATCTACTTTGATTGTGGTTTAATAAATGAAAACAGAAATTAAATGGCATTTTTTTAAAAAAAAAACCTTTTCCTAATATAGGGATGAATTTTTCAGACCCTTTGAACTGAAACAGTTCTGGTTCACTGAAATATTTTGCAGAAACACTTCCATATTTTGATCAGCCCTAATTATTACTGTGCTGAAGCCCATCTCTACCACCATCAACTGGTATGTTTATAGCCATCTGGATTGTGGGCTACTCATTTTTTAAAAATTATTATTGCATCTGTTGGTGCTTTATTAACCCTTTATAAAGAGCAGGTACACATTGTACAATAGCCACAAAGAGAACTTGGAGTTCACATGTGACCTTTTGTTCACATTCCTGAATATCCCAATCACTTTTATTTTATTTTATTTTATTTTATTTTATTTTATTTTATTTTATTTTATTTTATTTTATGTAATTGCTTCAAAACATCAACCATCTGAAGTTTATTCCTTCACTTAGGCTAAGGAATGAATTTTTCTTATTCTGAGAGCAGCTTCATTAATTGGAGGAGGTGGGTGAGCAGAAGGGCCTATTGGAAATTTACACTGTGAAT